AAAGATGTAGGCTGGGAGGCTAGGCCAGTCTCCCTTTTCACATTTTTCTGCCTGCTTAAATTCTAGCCACACTGGCAGCTGATTAGACTGTGCCCATCCAGATTAACGGTGAGTCTGCCTTTCCCAGCCCACTGACTCAAACGTTAATCTCCTTTGGCAACACCCTCACAGACACACCCAGGATCAATACTTTGTATCCTTCAATCCGATCAAGTTGACACTCAGTTTTAACTATCACAATATCCTTATATTCGATTATTACCAATGGCCAAGGTAGCCTTCTACTCAGTTTTTGCCTCTACACTTAACTTGTCCAAGTCAGCGATTGTGAACATGGCCCCACCAAAAAAACAGTTAACATGAAGGCATTTGAAAATGATAATATTCACAATTAATGCAAGTGTATAAAAGTGGTCACTCCAAAATATTGCTACTAAGAACATAAACAAATAGAAGAATTGCTCATCACTGCATTATTTTATCCCATAAAATAATCAGAGACATGTACAAGTATTATGCAAAATGACATTCACGTTTTGTTAGTGTTATAGGAGGTTAGCCCTGCTGAAGCCTGAGTTATTTTATTAAATACCTATACATAACATACAGAGTTGAAGATGCTGTGTTCACTGCGTCATCAATATATCACAAAAGCTCTCCAAGGAAGGTTTCAGTTTCTCCATCATAAAGATAAACAAACCGGAATACACAGTTGTTGACTTTCTTTCCCATAGTCACCCGAGTGAAGTGAAAGAGGCTAAACCTGGATCCCGGTCCGTTTGACACCACGGTTGTGTTCATTCTAACGTGCCATTCCGCTCTGTGGCACAGCAAGCCTATGCTAATTACTGTTGCTATCCCAACCCCATAAATTGCTGGTTCAATGCTTCTAGGACTATCCTGCTAATTTTCACAAATGTCCCAATCTCATCTGTGAGTTAACTCTTTAAAAAGCCCTCACAATAAGGACAAGCAGTTGTTAGGAGGTCCTCGTGCCTGTTTTCTCAGTGCCAGTTCTTGCCCTTTCCTTCCTCTGCTCTGATCACTGCAAACCACACTTCTTGGCATCCCTCACTCACTAGTTTATCCATAGTTTCACCCAGAGGAAAACACTGACTTGAAATCTGGAGGCTAGAGAAGGGAAGAAGTCAGGATATTTCTCCCACTCTCCACTTTGGGAGGTGATCCCCGCCCCACACCTGGCTGCAACTCCTCCATGGTCCAGCTTCCCCCAGACAGTGTCTCTGCTTTTGGTTCTAGTTCTCCCTAGCTGGTTCCTGCTTCAAGATTACAGGTCCTGACAGGTGGCACAGCTCTCGGATTGCAGTCGGATTTCCTCCCTTAGTCATGACCTTAAGAATAATGTGATTTCCTGCAATTGTGAATATCTGAGTTGTCCCACTTCCCCCTTCCCACTCTGCACACCCCTCTCTGATTAGTTCCCCACATTGAACTACCAGGCATGGTCCTGTTTTCCTGCCTGGCTGTGGACTGACCTAGAATGCTCAGAGCATGACATAAGTAGGTTTCTGGGCTTCTGGCAAAAATTTTCCTGGAAACCAAAGCATTAGCGACAAAAAAGGAAGAGCACAAGGGGAAGAATGTAGAGTCTGGGTTCGACTTCCAGAGCCTCACTAGTTGCTGTGCCTTTCATCATTTTCCCACTCTGAGTCTCAGTTTCCTCATGTAGAGAAATGGACTTATTGACACTTTCTAGTCCTACAAGGCTTGATTTCTTGTCCTGGCTCTGTAGTTCTCAAAGTCATCATTGCACCCTTGCAAAAAATACCTGCACTGACCTCATTAGCCCCTAGCACATGTGCAGCTTCTACACCCACCTGCAAGGCAATAGAACATGATGCCATGAGCTCCTGGAGTCTCCACAGCCAAAGCAGTCTTGTCCCTGCCATTCTCTTTCCACTCAAAGCAGAGGTCTCATGCCCTGTGCACCCCCTCGCACCCTGCCTACTATCCTCAGTTGTCCTCAGGTCTGGTTCTCTCAGGTGAGATGTACCCTCTATTGCTGGGGACGTTCCCTGGTCTCTTCACTGTGGGTCATGAAACGACCATCACCTGTCTTATAATTTAGTAATTCTTTAACAGCGTGATCTAGTTATTTTACCCTGAAGATTTTTCAATCTGAATTCAACTAACTGGTTATGATAATTAGCAGAAATGTAGTTCTCCATTACTCACTTGGAGAAGACTAACTACAATATTATAGGCAGTTACTCCTACCCAATGCCATGCATGTGGAAATGCAGCAGACATCTATATTTACATACAGTTTCTGTTAGCTATATTAAAACCACAACTGTTAAGCCACATTTGAGTTCTACAGAATCTTCCATGAGCTCCCTAGACTAGATCCAGCAGCTGCAAAAAGGCCCAAGAGATGAACCTGTCCTTGGAAAAACTCCAGGAGAGCAGAGGCTATTTTTTTAAAACCATGCTTTTTTGTGTAAACATAAACTGCTTTTTCCTTCTTAAATTATGGAGTGGACAAAGCCAATTCTAAGATATTATCTGTTTCTTTATAAAGTCAAGTCAAAGTAATTATACGCTTTTTCAAACTTGGCTATCCCCCTGTCCCAGGTACTATGATACACTTCCCCGAGGTAACCCATGCAAGTTGGGAATCATTGACTGGGAGGAAAGGGTCACATCAGATCTTTTTGCCTGAGAGATATATGTTCCATCCTTACAGCTTTCTCTGTTAGGATGCATAGATGAGCCATTGAACAGTAGAGGCAACTCTGGCCTTGATAGTGGACAGACTGGGTCCAAGTTCCAGCAGCTCTGCTCTTGAGGCCCAGTATCACCTAAGAAAAGTTGTCTCACCACATTGAATCCAGTTTTCACATTTCAAGAAGACAACTGAAAAAAAAAACAAAAAAGACAACTGAAAAAAAAAATACCCAGTCAGTTTTATCTTGAGGATTAGATGAGATGTGATAAAAGAAAAACTTCAGCCGAGTTAAATGTAAAGGAGTTTAATTGAGCAATGAACAATACGCGAATCGGGTAGCCCCCAGATTCACAGCAGATTCACAGAGACTCCAGGGGTGCCTTGTGGTCAGAACAAATTTATAGACAAAAAAGGTAAAGTGATGTTCAGGAATCGGAGGTGAGGTACCAAAACGCGGTTTGAACATTCAGCAGTCTATGAGTGGTTGAAGTGTGGCCGCCGGCTTTAGTCAACACTCAGCCATTGTTACAGGTGCATACTATTAATTTAGGTTTTCAGTTTTGTCTGACTATTAAGCTTGGTTACAGTTCATCCACAAGGACTCAAATATGAAACTACAGAATCCTTCTCAGGCCATATTTAGTTTGCTTTAACAGATGTTTGAACTGACATGCGAGATAGATAACATATTGAGGCTGATCTACATGCAGACACTCTACCAAGTGTTTACAAGCTCGTTGACTCCTGGCAATAACCCTGGGAGGCAGAAACAACTATCCTATTCCACAGAAGGTAAAACTGAGGCTTCAAGAAGTTAAGTTCCAAGCCTAAAATTCTGCAGTTGTTAAATAACTAAGAAGGTACTTCAATCTAGATCTATTTGACCCCATGAGTGGTGCTTTTGACCATTGTGTCGTATGCCTCCCAATATGTAAGTTAATCCCCTTCTTTTTGACAGCAGTACTAACCACTTCCCCACTAAGACCCAGCCTATACTGGTAGTTTCACAAAGCAGGAATACTGGATCTGCTCACTCTCCTACCCTGCGTGTTCAGAACTAACTGCCACAGAGCTTTCACTCAGTTAATATTGGTTGAATGAATGAACATCTTAACAAGGAATGAATACAAATGCACTTGAATTTGAATTAATACAGGACACTGTTTCTAAACCTTTTCACCAGTAGGGATTCCTCTTATTAATTTCTTCCCATGGGCCTCATGCTTTGATAAATTTCATCTTCCAAGCTGAGACTAGTGACAAATTGGGTTTTCCTATGTTTAATTAATCAAAGACAGATAAATTGCTTACCAACACTTCTAAACAGCATGAAATACGTATCATAACAAGCCTGAGTTGTTTAATTCCAGGCTAAAACAAATACAAATACAATAACCTGTTAGCTTAGGTGCTCTCCCTTGCAAGCAAATGGATAATAACTCCTTACAATTTCAAAATCCCAAACTAGCTTATGAATCTGTAGAGATTTGGGGACCCAGGTTAGGAAATGCTTCCCACTGTGATTCACATCGTACATTAGAGTTGCATCTTATAAGGCTTGGGCTTCAATGTTAGCAAGTAAGAAAACATCTGCATTTGTCCAAATTATCTTTGAAAACCCCTTAAATCTCCTAGATTCAAGGTTTTGTATATACAGTCTCTACAATCTTCTACAGTCATATGTCCATAAATCTGTAGCAAGAGGCAGTAATATGCAGCACATAATCAAGTGTATTTGCACAAACTATAATTGAATATATGATATATATAATTGAATATTCAGTATACATGTATGATGGAATCTGCAAGTTAGATGTGCACAGGATTTGATGCCGTCATATTTTTCACATATATAGAATAATATATGATAAATATTTATGCTATAAAATTATTAAGTAAACAACACTGTAGTTTCAAATAACTTAAAGAAATTGGACTTTGCCAAGGTTTTAAATTTCTGTGTTACCCTTCCTGCTAGCATTCCTCCATCTGGCCTACCCTAGGTTAACACTAGCTTGCATTTGCTTTGCTTCTTGATTTTACCACATATGTCAGTATTACTAAACAATATATTGTTTAGTTTTGTTTGTGTTTTGAGCTTTATATAAATGGCATCATATGGCATGTATTTTTGTGTGAGTCACATTTTTTGCCCAACATATGTTTACAACTATGTGCATGTGGGTATGGTTCATTTATTTTTCAGTGCTGTACAGAAAGTAATTTTTCAACTCAAGGTATTCCTTTCCTAAAATTAATTACTTTTGTCTAACTTAGCCATGTAATACAAATGCATCAAGATAGATAATGAACATTAACTGCTGCAACAAACAACACCAAACCAGAGTGGCATTAAGTTTTATTTTCTGCTCACACCACAGTTGTATGCAAATGGACAGCTCTGCTGGGCAGCTCTTCTCCAAGACATGACTCAGGGACCTCAACACCTTCCATCTTGTAACGCCAACATCTTTGAAGCTGGCTTTCTGGTAGTCATAGAAACAAAAGAAAGAACAGATCTTTCAGGGTTCAGAGGAGGCTGAGAAAGGCCTCTCGTGTGCCCAGGAAAAGGAAACAGACTTGGTGAACATCTCTATGGTATTTGTCACATGTAAAAGGCTACAAAAGAGTTTACTGGGATTAGATTTACAGGATTGGCTTGAACAGACTTTAAGTGTTATCTAATCTCACTCCCTTTGTTTTATCATCCAGTAAATTTTTTCTTAGTACCAACTGTATACCAGGCAATGATGAAGTGACATCCACAGAATCTGTAATGAGGAACTGCCTGCCTTGTGCTTGTACACTCTTCAAGCAGGGAAGCAAGCACAGCCTCAAGAAAGCAATTCCCACATTTGCACAGCTTGAACTGATTACTATTCATGATGCACACATCAGGCAGTTCCAAGTGATAACAAGAATAAGGGCGAGTGAGCTTGTGCACAACTGAGGACTCAAGATGACCCACAGGCCAGATTTGTTGAAGAGGTCATTGATGCCGAAGTCATCTATAATGATGACAGTAATTCGTTATTATGAGCATAATATCCCTGAAGTCTTTCTTTTTTTCTCGTGTTCCAGCAAATTGTCATATAGTGTTTTCCAAAGTTTGGATGTATTAGATGTCTTCAAATCCCAAAATAGTGGAGCCAGCTGGGTTTTGCCTTTACCCAACTGTTTCCCAGTTTTTCTTGGTATTTTTTTCTCTCCTAGTCTCTCTCTTTCTCTCCTCTCTGTCTTTTTCTCTGTCCTCCCTCTCTCACATACAAACATGCACACACAGAGGCACATATACACCCATGCACACACACATATGTACATGCACACACATACATGCTGAGACCAATACCTAGCAACCAAGCACAAACACACAATACCTCTAACACAGGCATTTCCAAGGGTTGGAAGTGTCTGATAATGTCAACAAACTCTATAGAGGACAGGGACTTTTATAGAAGCACAGGTGTCCACTTTAAAGCAGGACACACTTTTTCAAAAGGCACCAGCACAAATAAATCTCCTTCCCCCAAAACTGTGTTGAAACTTTCTCTTCACTCAAAAATGCTTCATACCTACTGAATCCAAACCCTGTTAGGATTATGTCTGCTATCGTCCTGTGAGTTTGGAGTTAGACTGTGAAATCCAATAACCATTTTGCTTCTGTATGTATATGTGGATAATACATGGAAAATTTTTAGGGTAACTAGCTTGAAGTCAGTTACACTAGTTATGTTTAGGCCAGAAATTGGAAAACATTTTCCTTAAAGAGCTAGATAGTAAAAATTGTAGGTTTTGAGGGCCATATGCTCTCTGTTACAACCACTTCACTCTGCTGTTATGGAACAAAAGTAGTTAGAAATGAATGGATGTAATGGTGTTTCAAAAACTTTATAAAAATCAGCGGTAAGCCGTATTTGGACTAAGAACTGTAGTTTCTTCATCTCTCGTGTTGACAAAAAAAAAAAAAGAAAAAAAAAAGCCAAACTCTGTAAAACATTTAAGGAGGTAATTTATTCTAAGCCAAATATGAGTGACCATGGATGGGGATACCACCTCAAGAGGTCCTGAGAACATATACCCTAGGTGGTTGGGCTACAGCTTGGTTTTATACACTTTAGATAGACAGAAGTTACAGGCAAAGACGTGCATCGATACATGTAAGGTATACATCTGTTCGGCCTAGAAAGGCAAGACATCTGGTGGATGAAAGGGTGCTTATACGTCATAGGTGGATTTTCTGATTGGCAATTGGTTGAGTTAAACTTTGCTTAAAGAGTTGAAGTAAGTAGGAAGAAATGCTTAAGTTAGGATAAGGGAGGTTATGAAAACCAAAGTTCTTGTTGTATGGCTGAAGCCTCTAAAATAGCAAGCTTGAGAGAGAAGAGGTGGTAAATGTCTCCTTTTGGACCTTAAAAAAGGTGTCATATTCATAGCTAAATCTCTCCAGAATCCAGAAAAGACATAGAGAGCGAAGGCCATTCTCTATGGAATGCAGATTTCCTCTACAAGAGATGGTTTTGCAAGACATATTTCAAAATATGTCAAAGAAATGTATTTTGGGGTAAAATACTTTGATCTCCTTCAAGGTCTGATATATGTCATGTGATGTTATACCAGAGTCAGATTGAAATTTCATATCTTATTGCTACAACAAGTCTGTTTTATCAGTCTTAGGATCTGTATGTTAATGTCACTGCTGGTCAGTTGTGCCTAAACTTCTAAGGGAGAGGGTATAATGAGGCATGCCCGACATCCCTTCCCATCATGGCCTGAACTAGTTTTTCAGGTTTCTTTGGGACCCCCTTGGTTAAGAGAGGAGCTTGTTCAGTCAATTGGTGAACTTAGAATTGTATTTTTGGTTTACCCTGGCTTAGCCATAAAGCATGCAACCATTGAGAAAGTCATAGAGTCACCCTTGAATTAGCTCAGACAGAGGTAGAGACTCCCAGTGTCGGTCATCTGAGAAAAAGAAAGTGGAACTTGGAAGGTGGGCCTGAAACCAGCTGGAAGGGGCTCTCCTATCTTTCTTTGAGGTTCCCCTTGCTGGAGTCCCAATATTACAGTAGGTAGTTAGTCATACACAAGCAGGGCAGGAGATGGCTCTAAAGCCACCTTTGCAAAAATTACATCAGTGAGAAAAATTATAACAGTAAACTGAGCTAACCTACCCCCCATCATGCCTTTCCCTTAATTATTCCTGGGCTATTGGGCCAAGCTAACATTGAAAGACATTTAGGCTATAGTTTAAATGATAATAGGCCTTGTCCTAAAACTCAACTGATTTTTGTAAAGCTAATGGGAGGCCATCAGGCTGGAAGGAGAGGAGGCTGGGTCCTGCCGAGGCATGGACATGAACAATTGTCAGCCATTATTCCGGAGGTTATAAGATATGCACCTTCCCCAATTATTCCTGCAGATAACACCACTATTGTGGACTGGCCTTTTGAGATATCTTTTCAGGAATTTTTGTATGTCTGACACCCATAGCTCTACCTAGTCCTCATGGTTTCACCTGCACTCACCAATCCCATTCCTGTGGCCTCAACCAGAAGCAATTCAGCCCGCAACAAGATAGCTTTGACCCTCTTTATCTCATCTCCACCCCAGAAAATCAACAGCAAGCACCTGTTACCTGGCCCCTCCACCCCTTCCCCAAAACTGCCTTTGAAAAACCCTTAACCTGCAAGCTTTGAACAAGATGATTTGAGTATGGACTTTATCTCCCATGTAGCATGGTCAACTTCATGTCTATTAAGTTCCTTCTTTACTACAATGTCATGATTTTTCTTTATGCAGTAGGTGGGAAGAACTCCTTAGGCGATTATAGCTCTCCCCGCCACCCCCACCAAACAAGAATGTCAGATGACATGTCTTGTCACCTGATGTCATGGTGTCGCAATCAGGTGATGGTGAAGCAATTGTTACACTCTCTGTCTCTAAAATGATAATTGGTCACAGCTGGTGCCAGGGAACGGCATTCTCCCAATACATAGAAGCACCTGAAACTGGTGATGAGCAGCTTCCCAGTAAGATCTCAGAAGCTGGACGAATGGCTCAAGCATGCTCACTAAGGGACAAAATGGCAGAGTTTAACTGGTATATGACCTTCCTCTAGGAACACTCAACTATTAAGAGGTGAGTGCCTCAAGTAAGCAAGCATGCAACTTCAGTAAACACACTGTGCATGCGGCCCCTCCCAAGTGCTGGCAGGCCACTGCACATGCAACAGTCCACCCCAAAATAAGGATCGGGGAGAAGTAATGCAACCCCAAAAGCATGCCAACATATAAGACCCTAAGTTGAAGGTCACAACCATGCACTTGAATTTCAAGTCACCAGCTTAGCCCTTTTCCAAGTGTGCTTTACTCCCTTTCATTCTTGCTCTGTAATCGCTCTTTCTTGTGCATTCTTGCTCCTGCTCTAAAACTTGTCTCTGTCTCTCCCTCTGCCTTATGCCTCTTGGTTGAATTCTTTCTTCTGAGGAAGCAAATAATTGAGGCTGAGGCAGACTCGTATGGATTTACTGCTGCTAACATACTTCGGTGCCATGTGACTCAGATACATTCCCTAGCAGTAACATCAACTTTGAGGCTTGTAGACTTGCTGGCAGGCACCCCAAGGTAAGAGGAAAATGATGGCCTTTGCCATTTGCCACATGGAGACACCTGTAGATTTTGACAAAGAGAACTTTGAACTACCCTCCAAACTAAAAAGAGAGTGAACTCTATGATAGGAGCCACTTGATCTAGCAAATGCTACTCTGCCTTTATTTGCCGTTGCTATCCAGCACCCTTGACAACATCATCTTTCACTCTACTTGCTTACTACTACCTGTGCTGCCTGGAGTAAATGAAACTTTAAGGAAAAGGGAGATCAGCAGCCCTGAAGACTGAATATTGGGAGTTATGGCCTCAGAGAACAAATGCTTCCCTGTACAGGCCCTAGGCTAAGCCACCATCCCTGACTCTTAGATTTTCACTTTAGGAAATCAGGGCCTTCATTTGTGCTACCTGGTGAAGCCTCTTCCACTCAGCTTTGCTCACTTGCAACGGCCCTGCTCCATCCTTCCCCACCATAGCACCCCCACATACTAGGTGAGTCCATATTGACTCTCTCACACCTGCTCCTCCTCCAGTCACCCCCATCTCAGCAACTGTCAATGCCATTTTTCCATGCCTCAAGTAAGAAAAGCCTTGGAATCCTCCACTGATACCTTTTTCTGTCACTCTCATTAACTCCAGTCACAATTTACCCCCTTCTCACCACTGCTACCTCCACCATCCATCTCCAAGCTATCATCACCTCTCCTTGTATGTCCAATCCCCTGAAGATCTTCTCAAGTCTCATCATTTTAAACATCATCCATCTACACATGACAACTTCCAAATGCACCTCCCACCCAGACCTTCCTCTGAGGCCCAGACTCTTCTTCTCCACTGTCTATTCAGCATCACTAGATGAAGGTTCACAGTTGTCTAAAACTTAG